GAACTTCAACTTCATGTGATAGGTCGACACCACTGCTTGGAATGTGTTGAGCGCTGGCCTTCCTAGAATCACATTATAAGCCGACTCGACGTCGACTACAACAAATCGTACCATCTTTACTTTCCTTAAGTCGCCTTCCCCGAGGACGACAACGAGCGTGACTTCTCCTAGGGGTGCTACTTCCGAGCCATTAAATCCAAAAAGTGAGGTATGCAGGGGCGTAAGCTTGATGTCGAGTTCCTTCCGTTTAAGGCAATTGTAAAAGATCACATTCACTGAACTTCCCGTGTCGACGAAGACCCTCTGCACTTCATAGCCTGATATTTGAGCAGTAATCATTAGGGCGTCATTATGAGGTCTTTCGACCTCTCCCATGTCTGTTGGCCCAAAATTTATCACTGGACCGTTCTCCTCCACCTGTTGTACTTCAATTTTTCCGTGGCGGCCTCGAGCATACGCCTTTCTGGCTCGATTTGAGTCTCCATCAGTTGCTTCTCCGAATATCATATGAATTATTCCTCTTTTCTGGGGGAGCTCCTCTTTGTCGGGTGTTCTCGCCCTCTTGCGAGGGCTCTTACTTCTTTCCCTTCGCCGACTGGTTCGATCTCGATCTTTATAAACAAACTTCTTTAGATGGTCTGCTTTGATTAGTCTTTCGATCTCATTCTTCAGGTGTCGACATTCGTCGGTATTGTGCCCGTAATCCTTGTGGAATCGACAATATAGATCGCTTTTGGGTTTTGTCGGTCCGTCCTTTCTCGTTTGTGGCCACCTGACAACGCTTTCGCGGATTTCCTTCTCCATTACCTCCAATATCCTTGCAGTCGAGGCTAGCAAGGGGGTATATTGAGGTGTCCTCCATCCCCTTGATCGCCCCTCCCTTTCTGACTTCGGGGATCCTTTTTTCTACCGACGTGATTGGTTTTTTCTCCTTCTCATCCTCCCGGAATTCAGCTTTGCTTTAGCCACTTGCAGGAAATCGGCTTCGGCTTCCTCGACATTCATGCACTTGGCACACCTTCCTAAAACCTCATCGAACGACCTCCCAGGTCGCTTTGCTAAGGATTCGGCATAGTCCGGGGAGGAGTCCTCTAGTGAGTCCACCCGACTTGATTTCCTCAGTGGCTGAGGGGACGTCGACGCACGCCCGTGTATATCTTGCCACGTAATCTCTCAACGATTCTCCTTCCTTTTGTTGCATGCCTATCAGAGTGAGGTAAGATTTCTCTTGGGCCTTTACACTTGCAAATTGGTTTAGAAAACATGAGCTAAACCCCCCAAAGTCCCTGACAGCTCTCGGGGGCAATTGATGAAACTAGTCCTGCGCAGGTCCTCGCAAAGTTGTCAGGAATGCTCGACATTGAACAGGGTCGTTATAGCGGTGCAGCACTGCCATGTTTTCAAAACTCCTTAGATGTCGAGAGGGATCAGTTGACCCATCGTACCAGATGTTCAGCTCTCTGAACCCCTGCGGCAAGTCGGCGTCTAGGATATGTTGCGAAAAGGGGTGTCCTCTCGAGCCTCCTGTTTTTCTCCCCTCGACTCGAGCCTGCAGGTCTCGCACCTGAGCTAGCAACTGCTCGAGGGTGTCGTTCTTTGCTTGCGGATTGACAGTTTTGACGGAGGATTCCTCCTCGTCCGCCCTTCTATTCTGTCTTTCATGGGATTGGGCCTGCTGCTCGTGCTCCGGGGGAGCTGGGTTGCTCGACTTGCGTCTGTTTGAGTTGGGCCGCTATCGCCTCGCGATCATTCTCTGCATCTCGCTTCTCGTCATGGTCAGTGTCTGCTCCTCGACTCGGGGTGGTGGCCTTGTTTCAGTTGGTGCATGACCGTCCACCCCTCCGCTCGTGTCCCTCACGTTACTAGCCTCCCCTTGAGTGAGCACTGGGATCTTGACTCCTGGCGGAGTTATAGGTGTCTCTTCTTCCATACGCGATCCTGACGGCGCGTGTGCTCCGAACGGTGGAAAACCAAACATTTGGAGCGGTGGCCTGGGGTTGGGAATCGGCGGAGGCCGCTTATCAGTCCATGTTGCCCTGAAATCCTCGTTCAAATTCTTCTGTAACCCTTCCTTCTCAGCCATCAGAGACAGTTCAAAGCTAGGTGTAAATCTTTTAATTCCTTCAAGAACTCCCCACAGACGGCGCCAAAATGATGGGTCTCCTCTCAGATCTGGAGTGAACCGATGAAAAACCGCCCAGATCTGGAATGAACCGATGGGAATGAGCTCAGATCTGACTTGATAGCCTCCAAACAGCTGATGAACCGCGAGAACACCTGCAAGAACTCAACACCAGAGGGGTTCCCGGCGTAGAGCCTCCGATGCTCAAGTCAGTATGTGAAAGAGATGAAGAGAGCTGCTCTGAAAGAGCAGCAGCAGTAATGGAGAAGAATGTAGAATGAATCAGAGTTAGGGTTTTGGAGTTACCTCAGCTCCTTTATATAGAAGTAAAACATCTACCTGAAGTCCCCAAAATGCCCTGGCCGACTTATTGGAAATGTCCAAAATACCCTTGGCAGTTCACATTCTGTCCACCTCCTAGTCAGCATCTAGATTCTTCCTTATCCTTTAATAGCTTCCCTCTGATATATTGAAGTGTATTGGAGTCATCAGGGGTCCATGAACTTCGAGATTACCTCAGTCGACTTCGAGATATTCTTGTATTCGAGCCGGCTGGGTCATTCCCCAATTGCTAGTAGATCCTCATACTTATTCATCCTTCCAGACGGAATCGACTTAGGTTAGTCGACATGGTGGAAGTCGACTAAGAAAAGCATCTGGACCTTCGACCGAATGTATTATCTCGAGGAGGCATGTAGGTGGAGTCGACTTCGAGTGAGCCGACTCGATGATGTCAGAGTAGGTAAAGGATCATATGAGAATGGTTGCTAGTGAAGGAAATGAGAACAATTGTGCACCATTTGATCTGTTAAATCAATGGTTAAGATATAGTCAACATCTATTTTCCTCTGTTGACTACGCGGTGGCACAGCCGTAAATACAACAAATTTTTCGGACAAAATATCTACATAGGAGGGTATTATAGTCTTTCATTCCATTAGCCTAGGGTAAAGGCAGATTTACGTCTCATTAATTGTGTCTGGCATTGATTGATGAGCTCTGTGGGTAGGAGTGGCGGTTTCACAACGTTCGATGGACGTTTGAGCTCAAGTTCTCACCGGATTCCGTCGCGTGAGTAGCAGCCGTGCTTATTCCTTATTATACTGAGTTTTTTATGCGATTAATAGTTCGATTTCATATAGATTTTGGAGATAGTTCGTCAATTGCAGAATATGGGAAACTCTCCCCAATCGAGGAAACGAGGTAATATTTTTGTACTATGAAGAGCTGTTCGTCAATTGTTGTGTAATATCTCAGATCTTTGAGATAGTTAAATTTCACGATATGTGTAAGATCTCATACTATGAAGAGCTGTTCGTCATTGTTGTACAACCTTTTTGAGTTCTTATCCTACTCTGATGAAAAAAAAATGGTACCTTGGGGTGTTTTTTGTGTATGTTTATTTTTTGGTCTGTTCATGTAGTTTCCCACATCTTTAGTTTCAGATTGATGTAGATTTGTTCTACTTTTTTTCGAGCACCCAATAAGTGTATGGGTATTATGATCTGTTTTGAATTTGTGTGCAGGTACTACCCGCAAGAAGCCCGACATCGTACCTGAACATAACGGCAATGGGGGTCCACATAATAATGACACAGGTACATTCTATGATGTGTCGTATGTTGTGTTTAGTTTGTTGAAATTTACTTTTTTAGTGAATATATATATTATCAGTATGATTAAGCATCTTTTATTTGAATTTATGTTGTACTATTTGTAATATTTGATTAAGTTGTTCTTATCAGCTTTAAACTATCAGTTTATTATTGTTATTTGCTTTTATATGTGAATTCTGAACAATTGAGTGTTGTACGTTTCGGTGCCAGAGAGAACTCCCGATACACCAGGACATGTTAGTGACCGCCCTGATAAGACCATCCTGTTGATGGTTTGCCCATATCAGATATTGCACCGAATCGGCCTGTCACTCGACGTAGAACAAAGCTACCTTCAGTACAATAACGCGTTACGACCGCACGGTCCAGTAACCCACAAGAAGGTAACTATTTATGAAATATCTATATGACTAATTGTCCCGTGATTACAATACGTGGCTATTTACATATACACGACTGCCCGGGATTCAATTTCTCATGTGTCACTTTCACCTGCGTTAATTTAATCGTTGACATTAATATATTAACTCTTTCTTGTTTATAAGCTTATTAATTCTTATCATCATTTATTCCGTTTATTTTTATTTTAATAAACTATCCATTTATTAGTGTTCTTTGCTTTTATACGTGCGTTCTCAACAATTGTGTGTTGTACATATTCAGTGCCTAAGCGAACTCCTGATGCACCAGAACGTGTCAGCGACCGTCCTGAAGACGACCACCCTGACCATGATGTACCCATAGCAGATATTACACCCACCCGGCCTGCCGCTCGATGTAGTACAAAACTACCTTCCGTACAACAAAGCGATACGACCGCAAAGTCCAGTAACCCACAACAAGGTAACTATTTATGGAATCTCTATATGACTAACTGTCCTGCGACTACAATATGTGGCTATTACATCTACACGACTGATTGGGGTTTAATATTTGTCATTAATATATTAATTATTCCTTGTTTATAAGTTTTCTTATCAGAGATTGAATGTCTCAATTTAGTTGGCATATTGTAGATTGTTTATCACTTAAGGTGTAATTATTTATTCTAATATATGTATCGTGCAGATATCAACAACAATTCGGATGAACAACCAATTGGAAAATCGTGCGATAAAGGTCATTATGTTATTTTTTTCTAAGAGTTTTTGTGTTATTTTCTATAAGTTATCTATATGTGGCTTATGTTAATATACACGAGCATCAAAAGTTAAAAAAATTCAAGTACGTGTAGCACCAACTGTACGTAATATGCTCGTATAATGTTTGATAAATCGCAGCAAGCAAGCGTAAGATTGTTGCACCGAATCGGGCAGTGGGACGTGCGAAACGTGCAAAAATGGCAAGTCAGCCAGAAAGCGAGGACGTCAATCAAACTCAAACAGAACGTTGTCAAGAAACGACAACGAGAGACGGTATAAAGTTCTACGTCTCATGAGCACTATATTTGTATTCATTTCACAACACTAGATTGTATAAAAGTTTATATATCTTACATGTAATGTAAGAGTGCAACAGACTGTTAACGAAAAAGGTGGTACGCATACACTGGAAGATACTCGGGCAGTAACCGATGATGCACTCCCGACCATCCACACGCGAACATCATCAGCCATATTCGTGAAGGCAGTGTCCGGTTTGTCTGAGGACCAGAGACATGCAGTCCGTGATATGGGATTTGGAAGCTTGTTCGATTTGACGATTACAGCAACCCCGACAAAAATGGGATATTGGCTGGTTGATAACTTCAATCATATGGACCGGAAGTTGCAATTGTATGATAGTGGTAAAATCCATGTGAAAGAAGATGACGCGTATAGTGTGATGGGGCTACCCCTAGGACTATTGAGGTCACAAGTCGGAAGAAAAAAAAAGAGTCGGGAGCGTTGAAAGAATGGGCCGATGTGTACAATGTTAGCATTGCCACCAAAATAACGGCTACAAAGGTGTTGGACATGATTCAGAACTGTGGTAGAAGTGACGACTGGTTTAAACGTCATTTTGTGGTTCTCATGATCACGTGTTTGTTTGAGAGCTCTCAGAACGGAGTTGCAAATTTACGCACGGTTCACTTGCTCGATGATTTGTCGAATGTGAGCAAGATGAATTGGTGTGCGTACCTGATTCGGTGTCAGGTGGGTGCTAAAAAATCATGGACTGCTAGTCAGAAGAGCAAGAATTTCACTGGACCTTTGCTACTTTTGACGGTATGTGCCTTTAATCCTTTATGACGTTTATTCTGTGTACTTTATTAGTTTCCTCATTTTTTAGTTATTTAGTTATTTACTTGCATTTATTGTGGTCTTTTGTTCGTGTAGCTGTTTTATGTCGATAAGGTTGTTTTATCAATTAGAACCGTACCGAGATCACTACCGATTTTTAAATCATGGAATAACGGCTTGCTGAAAGCAAGAGAGCGAGATGAGGTTGCGGCTGACGCATTTGGGAGAGGATATGTTGACGATGACATACATGTGTCAGATGTTCATCACCGTGCCGACATACATAGTGGCAGTCCCATTGGGAATGACGTGAATCGTGCGTCAGAAGTAAGTGTGAAGGTAAGTGTATATATCAGTGGATTTCTCCTGTGTCTTCATTTTGTTTTCTTTGTTTCAGTGCAACAGCTGCATAACATTTGTGCAATGTGTGTAGTTATATGGTGCAGTCTGGTATTGTTTAGTCCGTATGATGTACGAATTATTTTTTGCATCCTATGGCTTGTATTGTCGTATACACGTTTAATTGATTCGTTTTACCATGTTAGTTGTTTCAGCCATTTATGTATGAATTTGCATCAAATGACCCTATATTTTTTGTGTTTCCCTACACATGATATATTTCGTCGATTGAGATGAATATGTAGTGTGATAATGCCAGTTTGTGTCTCGTCTTGTTTGTCTAAATTTTTGTTGTCTACTTACTCGTTTTCTTCTTAAGTTTACAGTTTCATGATCGTCGCATGTTTGTTATGTTTTATACGTTATGTATAATTGGTGCAACCGGGTGCACTGGAAAGTTCAACCTGTACAGTAATTATGTGCAACCGACACCAATAGTGTATATGAGTTTTTGGATATTTGATATGATTTATATGTGACATATAGGCGGTGCAACCGTATACACAGAACGGTGCAGGCTGTCTATTAATTATGTGCAACCGGTAGCAGTAATGTACATATATGTTTCTGTATGATCTTGTGCGTGATGCTATGTTCGATATGGATATGTATTGTGATTTTACTAAAATGTATATTGTATTTTTTTGTCCTGATCGTCGCTGTATACTTGCTCGTTTACTTTATGATTATATGTTTCTTCAAATTGTCAGTTATTTGTTATGCTTTATATGTGATGGATAATCGGTGCATCCGTATATACATAATGGTGCAGTCTGTCTAGTAGTTATGTGCAACCGGTACCATTTATGTTTATGTGTTTGTCATACGATATCGTGCGTGTTACTATGACTGTGTGTGTTTTTGATTGATTTTTTTTCTCTGTTTTTGTTTTTATTTTTCATAATAACAGGATTTTGTTCAAGAATTTGCATCAAAAGCCCGTATTCTTGCCACTACGGGTGTTGAAATTTTACAGCTGGTCGAGAGGGTGCCAAAAGATTTATTAGGCGATGAGAATTTTATGAAGATGCGGGGTACCGCACAGAAGCTACTTGGGGTGTCTAATGGCGACGTAAAAGGAAAGTCTAGTCAGCAAACTCCCAGCTGCAATGACGAACCTTCCATTCCCAGACCAACACAGTTAGTGGATGACGCGTTCTGGAACGACCCCAAGAATCTGGCTGCCTTAGATGCTATTATCGATGCTGTTGCGCATCGACACCATTTTAAACGGATTCATCATAAAGGCCCCAGTTTTAGCTTGGGCATGGGACTTACACCGGATGAAGAGAATGCTAATGCAGGACGTTTCGATAATGTCAAAAAATTCACTACTGACGGTCCTTCCAATGTAGACGTGCCATCAAGTATTTTGAGTCAATCAGTTCACTTTTATAACTATCTCATCTGATTGTTGTTGTATAAATGTGTTTGATGACATCCATTTTTTACCTTTTTCCTCTCTTCTCTTTTTCAAGCTGATCGCGATGCGGTGGTTAATGAATCGATCGCTGATACAATTCCTGATTGCGTGCAAGGTATAAATGGTATACATTGTATATATTCAAATATTTTTTATATTGTTTGTTCTGGTTGTATTTAAGTGCTTCATATGTGTTGACTAGGCATCGGTGGTGATGCGATTGGTGACGATCCTGTTGTTGAGGTTGGTAGACCAAAAAGGAGTCCCAAGTTTTCTAGCATGGTTAGATCACCTTTCCATCAAAGGTATATGGACGTGGTCAAGAATCTCGACAGCCAGGAAAAGACGGTCGTTAATTGGGTTTTGCAAAAAGATAACGAGTAAGATATATGTTGTGCCATTGTGTTTTTCTTTTTATGTAATCAACTTTATTATCCATTGTAATTATTTATTATGTTTTTTTTTGTGTTGTTAATATTTGTATACACAGCGATGTGATTATATATCAAACCCTGTACCTTGATTATGCTGTGAAGAGAGATGTGGTGGCATGCTTGGCACCGAACACGTCAATCCCCGAGGCACTTATTGATCTGTGGGCTCGTATAATGAACATCAGTGAGAAGTTCGGGAGTCGTGGCTCAGTAGCGTGTTTCTTTGCAACCACTCGTCCGTGTAATGAGGTGCATTGTGATATATTTATGATGTATTGGAAGAATACTTATGATTTTTGATCTACTTTGTTGTTTCAGTAATACTTACGACAAAAATTTGTGAATATCAGCTATTTTTTAAGGGAAAGAGAAAGAAGGACATAAATTACAAGAAGTTCGTGGAGAGGCTAGATTCAGATATCGGTCGAATGCGTGGACATAACTGGAAGAAAGTTGCATTGGTATCTCGACATTTTAAATCTTGATTATAATGAGCTGTGCTACATTATAACCGTCTGATCCTTTGTTTGAATTACAGTATGTGTTCCCTGTGCACTCTGGTGGTTGTAGTATTTACTTAATTATTTACTTACACTACTTTGTATTTACTTAATTATTTATTTTACCGTAATTAATTTTTTCTTTTCGAAATTTATTCCTAATTTTATTAACCCTAAATTGCTCTGCTCCGCCTGTTGTTATGTGATTGTTAACAACGATATAAGTTATGATTAAGTGAGTACTTTGGAATGATTTGAACGTAAAGCATGTAGGATTGGATCAACAATGGCCCCGGTCCGAGGTGAACCGAGGTGAAGAGCCGTGATGGGCTTTTACGTGTTGCGTGGTAAAGTGTTTACAATTCGGGAATTTGGAGAAAAGAGCGATCCCTTTACAATTGTCATAGGTATGCTATTTATAGTAGTTCCCGGTTGAGACATTGGGATCCGTGTGCTACTTTTTGAATAAAGTAGCTTTTTTATGGGCGGTTTGAGGCAGGGGGTCCCACGTAAATGATGACAGATCTTGTGGAGTAGGAGAGCCTCACGTAGATGCCTTGTCACCTGCTTAAGGTGGTGACGACCTCGGTTCATGTTGTCCTCGGTGGATGTTGACCTCGGTAATCGTCGGTCACTTCGGTCCTTGGTGGTTCAGACCGGTTCTTTGGTGTAGATCGGTGCGGTTATGATTCATGTCGGTTTAACTGTTAATCGTGTTTAATAAGATGCTCAAAACCTCTTAACAGCGTCTTGCCGAGTCGGATGATAACAGAGAGGCCCCCAACATCGATGGGCATCCGGAGTGATGGTCGTTGATGTTGCAACACACAAGGTATTTAAAGACCCTGGATCGGCAAGACGTCGGTGGTACGATGTGATCTACGATGTTCGGTGGATCATCTTCGGTCGGTCTACCGACGTAACCGAAGTGGATCATTTGTCCGAAGTGCAGACTGTATGCCGAAGTGGAGACACTTGGTGAATATTGGGTAATCTTCAGGCAGTTAATGACAGAAGTGCTGAACGGTCGTAACGGTCAACGAGTAA